AAAATTGGCTATTTTTCCATGTTTTTTTAAGGCAATATAGGCCAGGAAAATGTGTTTTATGACATTCTAGAAGGAAAAAACGGTTTTTTAGGCTTTAAAAACAAGAAGTTCAAAAAGTCAAAAAATTAAGATTTTTTCAAAGGGGTTACTGCATGGTTTTTGGCCAAAATTGGCTATTTTTCCATGTTTTTTTTTTAAGGCAATATAGGCCAGGAAAATGTGTTTTATGATATTCTAGAACGAAATAACATTTTTTTAGGCTTTAAAAACAAGAAGTTCAAAAAGTCGAAAAATTGAGATTTTTTCAACGGGGTTAGTCCATGGTTTTCGGCCAAAATTGGCTATTTTTCCATGTTTTTTTTTAAGGCAATATAGGCCAGGAAAATGTGTTTTATGATATTCTAGAACGAAATAACATTTTTTTAGGCTTTAAAAACAAGAAGTTCAAAAAGTCGAAAATTGAGATTTTTTCAAAGGGGTTAGTCCATGGTTTTCGGCCAAAATTGGCTATTTTTCCATGTTTTTTTTTTAAGGTAATATAGGCCAGGAAAATGTGTTTTATGACATTCTAGAAGGAAAAAACGGTATTTTAGGCTTTAAAAACAAGAAGTTCAAAAAGTCGAAAAATTGAGATTTTTTCAAAGGGGTTAGTGCATGGTTTTCAGCCAAAATTGGCTATTTTTCCATGTTTTTTTAAGGCAATATAGGCCAGGAAAATGTGTTTTATGACATTCTAGAAGGAAAAAACGGTTTTTTAGGCTTTAAAAACAAGAAGTTCAAAAAGTCAAAAAATTAAGATTTTTTCAAAGGGGTTACTGCATGGTTTTTGGCCAAAATTGGCTATTTTTCCATGTTTTTTTTTTAAGGCAATATAGGCCAGGAAAATGTGTTTTATGATATTCTAGAACGAAATAACATTTTTTTAGGCTTTAAAAACAAGAAGTTCAAAAAGTCGAAAAATTGAGATTTTTTCAACGGGGTTAGTCCATGGTTTTCGGCCAAAATTGGCTATTTTTCCATGTTTTTTTTTAAGGCAATATAGGCCAGGAAAATGTGTTTTATGATATTCTAGAACGAAATAACATTTTTTTAGGCTTTAAAAACAAGAAGTTCAAAAAGTCGAAAATTGAGATTTTTTCAACGGGGTTAGTCCATGGTTTTCGGCCAAAATTGGCTATTTTTCCATGTTTTTTTTTTAAGGCAATATAGGCCAGGAAAATGTGTTTTATGATATTCTAGAACGAAATAACGTTTTTTTAGGCTTTAAAAACAAGAAGTTCAAAAAGTCGAAAAATTGAGATTTTTTCAACGGGGTTAGTCCATGGTTTTCGGCCAAAATTGGCTATTTTTCCATGTTTTTTTTTAAGGCAACATAGGCCAGGAAAATGTGTTTTATGATATTCTAGAACGAAAAAACGGTTTTTTAGGCTTTAAAAACAAGAAGTTCAAAAAGTCGAAAAATTGAGATTTTTTCAAAGGGGTTAGTCCATGGTTTTCGGCCAAAATTGGCTATTTTTTCATGTTTTTTTTTTTAAGGCAATATAGGCCAGGAAATGTGTTTTATGATATTCTAGAACAAAAAAACGGTTTTTTAGGCTTTAAAAACAAGAAGTTCAAAAAGTCGAAAAATTGAGATTTTTTCAAAGGGGTTAGTGCATGGTTTTAGTCCAAAATGGGCAATTTTTTTCGTCTTCTTTTTTAGGCAATATTGGCCAGGAAAATGTGTTTTATGATATCCTAGAAGAATTCTAGAAAGAAAAAACGTCTTTCTAAGCTGTAAAAACAAGAAGTTCAAAAAGTCGATAAAACTGAATGTAATTCTATGATTGTGTGACGGTACAGTAATTCCAGTGTGTGTGCCACCAATATACAAACAGAGGCCAAAATGGAAAATGCCATTTATAATTATCATTATTGTTTACACTTGGGAGCGGATTCATTGGATAAATCACTTCTATTCAAGGAGTGTATAGTTTTGATTTTTAATTGGCAGATTGTGGACACCTGTTTGTATAATATAGGCGAGGAAAATGTGTTTTAGTTTTGAGTTTTAATTGGCAGATTGTGGACACCTGTTTGTATAACCACTAAATATGGTTTCAAGGCTCCAAGCCTTCCATCACAAGATTCTATTGAGCGGTGATTCATTTCACATAACACCCATTAGCTTATGACTGTGGTGGGAGTAGGTCACATTTCAAGCATAGGTTTTTGTTTCAGTAGCTTTCCCATTACATTGTAAAACATTGTGATGAGTGGTGGGGCCACTTGTATGATTACCTCTTTGTGCTTTCCTTGCTAAATTAAGTTCCCTACCACCACTTTTCGGATCATTATATGTTTCCGCGAAACTGCCCACCTACCCCTCCCCTAAGCCAACATTAACACTTACTTCTCACTTAGGGCAAAAAGTTGGCTTAGGGGAGGGGTAGGTGGGCAGTTTCCCAGAAGCATATAATGATCCCACTTTTCTAGGCACCATTTTTCCTTCTCATCCACTAGCAGGGCTGTCACTAAGTCTTTAAGTTTCTGGATCTATGTAATTAGTCAGCGGGAAATTGAGCAGCTAGGAATTTTTTAGGTTTCATTTTCCTTTTGTTTCCTATAAAAATAGCCTGAGGTCATGCTCATGGGCTCAGTGAACATATTGATGAATGGGGTTTGACTGTTATGGTTCTTAGAAAATATATGAATTGATAAACAGAATAATTACTATTGTAATGTTTATGATTGTAACTTGACTTACATGCTGATGTATGCTCATGTTTTTCTTATCCAGATCAGATGCATCATGCCAGAAACAGACGGGAACAAGTCTTCAACACTTAGGCTTTAGAGGTTATTTTAAGTACCGTATTACTTTGTAATCCAGCTCTTGAGTGAACCAGATAAACAAAATGTGGCTTGCTTGTTCAAAAGACAATTATTACTAATCTTATCCAGGACACAAAATTAAAAATGCATTTAAATGCACTTTAAAGTAGTTAACAGTAAAGTGCATCTTTAAGGGGTTGGTTGGTTTGTGCACACTGAGTAGTTCGCTACAAAATTCACATGATACAAGTCATGTGGAGATTTCTTTGCACAGGGATTTTTATCCTACGAGGTTTCTTAATACAATTCTTTCTACTGCAGAAATTAGTTATAATAAGTAAAACATACAGGGCAAAAGTATTGACAGCTAATTCCTCGTATGTAGTTGAGGGCAAAATTACTTTAGTTGCTGTTGTGCAGAAGAGTTGGTTTTGATTTTGAACAGGATCAGGAACATCTCAAAGAATTGAAGTTAACTGATAAAAGTGAGTTGAGTCAATGTTTATTTTCAAAGCGTCTGGTGGCTGAGTGTAGTTGGAGAAATTCACTTGACCCTAAATATAACCTTTTCAGTCTGTATTTGAAGCTCAAAAAGCAATCCAAATCACCGCTACACAAAATGAAGGAAAACTGTCCAAAACACTTTTAAGTGTTCATACCACTTGAAAATTAATTTGAGAGTTTCAATGAATCACTGGAGCAAGTTACATGTAGGAGTTTCACACTGATTTTCGAACTGGATTCTGGAATTATCACAGCCTTCATCTTATTCCAAGAAAATGCCTATAAAATTTCAATTTTATAATCCTATTGTGCAAAGAACCACTCAGTTTAAAAAATTTGGCTTGATAATTAATCATGCCAAATAGATTTTTGATTTTACTCCTGGATAAGTATTAGCTTGCTTTTGATCAGTTTTGCCACAGCTACATGTATGCTATAGATATAAGCTAAGTTCTGCTATAGTTTAATAAAAAAAAACAGTTTTACATCATTTTCATGTGCCAATTTTTGCAATTGCAAAATCATTGCAAAAATTTAGAGCTACCACATTGTCAATGACCCAATAATAATATTGAAAACTTTAATTAAAGTTCACTATCATTGTGTCAACAAACATGTGGAAAGGTGAAAGAAAACAAGGGAAAGTTTGGCTTAAAAGGTCGAAACAAGCCTTTAATTGTTTCCAACATGAAAGAAAAATTCATGCAATGTGCTCCAAGCTTATGTTAATGTGCATTGAAGTTTCACAATTATCATTCAGCCAAGTCAATTTCTGGTTCAAAGAAATCAATACATGTATGTATTCTACAGTTGCACTCAGAAATTTTAAGAAAAAGGTTTACAACAGAAAACGAACAGAAAACGATTCATTAAGTTTATCAGAGTGTTGCTGAAAAGAAAATCTGCAAATCAAAGTGGCAGCCTTAATTCAACAACCTAAACAAATGGTTGAACTTAGCACTTTATCAAAAACGACTTTGTTAAAATATTAAAAGGGCTGATCACTAAAATCTCATTCCAAATTTTGCAAAATCTGAAATTTGATAACCATAAAAGAGCTCGAATTTTGTTGGCACTGTGGTTAGATCTTTGTTCAAAGTTCTCATGATTTTCACATGGAAGATGAAGAGATGTAAAACTGACTGTGGATTAGATCAGACATGCAATCTACATTGTGGCCTACGCAGCAAGCAGCACCAACTGACTGACTTGTTAACTGCCTGATGACTAATATACTGACTGACTGATTCACTGATGACTTGCTGGCTGACTGGCAGGCTGACTGACTGGTTGACTGGATGACTGACAGACTGACTGGCTGACTGACTGGCTGGCTGGCCAACTGGCTTACTGGCTAATTGACTATCTGACTGCCTGACTGGCTAACTGACTGGCTTGTTGACTGACTGACTGACTGACTGGCTGGCTGGCTGACTGACTTACTGACTGACTGACTGACTGGCTAGCTCACTGACTGGTTAACTGACAGACTGACTGATTGACTGGCTGACTGACTGACTGACTGACTGACTGGCTGACTGACTGGTTAAATGACTGACCCTATTTCTTAGCTACATGATCATCAGACATAATGATTATATTATTTCTAGGGCTATTTTTGTCTAAAAACAAGCAAATGTGAAATTTCCAATCTTCGACCAAAATCATGGGTTAACCCCTTCGAAGAAATCTCAATATGGCCATTGTTTAGAATCAATATTGGTATAATCTAGGAAGGCTTGTTTTCTACTTGGATGATCATCAAACATAATTTCAAGGCTCATTTGTCCAAAATCGAACTGAGATAAAATTTTTCCAGTTTTTGAACAAAATCATAGGTTAACATGTCCACTGTGTAATGTCGATTTATTTTTTTCGTGTAGGAAGGCTTTTTTTCTAACTGGATGATCAGCAAACATTATTTAAAGGCCCAGTTTGTCCAAAAACAATCAAAGAGGAAAATTCCAATTTTTGACCAAAATCATGGTTTAATCCCTTTAAAAAAATTCAGTATGGCGACTATGTGAAATTCATATTTTTATAGTCCAGGAGGGCTTGTTTTCGTAACTAGTCGATCAATTTGCCTCGTTACTTGCTGACTGCATGACATGTATAATTACTGCTCAACTGGGATATCAACGTATTGACTGAATACCTAAGTGATTTATTGACTGACTATATTTACTAACTGAATGAATTACTTGTCTTGACTGTATGGCTCTTGGTGGATTGCATGACTGTGCCAGTTTATTTCTTGGTCTATTTACTGTGAACTTTATGAATCCCAAATCTGCCTTGCATTGCGCAAACTGCAAGAGGAGTGGGTACTAGCTTTTGGCACCATGAACTATGGGATCGTATGAGTAACATTCAATAAGTTTTGAAGCTGGAAGGGTGGTTAGAATAGGGAAACGGCCATTTAGTGTTTTGGTTGGGCACGCGAGAATTCACTTTACTATTATGAACGGACAGTGAGAATTAGCAAGGAGAATTAGCATTTTCATCACTTGGGGAGTAATAGAAGTTCACAGTATCAAGACAAAAGGTCTTGGATGACGCTTTGTGTAATTTCAGACTGACTTTATCAATGATTCATAGTATATCGCAAAATGCGCCACAGATGGGTGTGTGTGTTTGTTATGAATTTTTTTGATTTGCAATTTACTGCAAAATCGTAGTCTTATTTGCAGTTTGTTCTTGAGATCGTCACGTAATGCGTTTGTATCTGCGTGACGACCCCAAGAGCCATTTCAAGGAGGCAAGGAAGACTGCACCATTTTATTTCATACGAATAAGTCAGTCAAGATATTTTTTGTCGATTTCGTTTCTGAAAAACACTCGTTTGTGGCGTACTTTGAGTAGAAATGCAAACTGCTTGATAAAGATGAGTCTGATTTTTACCACAAAGATGAAGTAAGAGTTTATCAAAAGCAGAACTTAGCTCTCTCTTGATTTAAACCAGCTAGTACTTTAAGCTCAAAATACTAGTGTTGATGCGAGTTTGAGAAAGACCTTAAACTGTTGCCGCTCAGCAGCAATGAAAGAATTTTCGTTGGCGAGAGTTTTCCTAACAGAGTTGCCAAGCCCTTTTACTCGCACGAGTGTTTTTATTTTTTGCGAATTAATGTTTCTCCAAATTTGCATCGACACTTGAACTTTGTTGTTGAGTACTTATGGTTTTGTCAATCGCAAAGACTTGGACACAGTGAAGCGTTGTGCGCGGTGAATTTACGTCGTTTTCTTTTTAGCGCTGAGATTGTTGTGAGCGATGTGTAAAGAAAAGCAATTCGTTAAATTCGATTTATCTTTTACAACATTGTACGCAACAATCGCTTGGTTGGAAAACGGTGTAATTTAAAGATTAGTTTAAACTAGCGCCTTAAACGCAAGCAGAACCGGTACAACTGAGTTTAGTGGGATCGTCAATAACAAAAGCATAAGCAGAAACATGGGAAGAAGGAACACACTCATTCTTTTCTTGATCATTACTAATTCACACAATTAAAGAGCAAACACAAGAAGAATAAAACGAACCCGTTTGATTTTCTTGTTCTTGTGCTTTAAATGCGTTAATTACTGGTGAGGATAGAAAGATTGAGTGCGTACTTTCTCTTGTGCTGTTACGTCCGCACTTAACTTGTGCTTGTGTTTATCTCACTGGTGTAAACCAATCTTTGCTGCGCGCAATGTTTTACTGTGTCCGAGCCTTTAGGGTGTTTATCTGGTTCACTTAAGTAGTTGGATTACAAAGTAAACAGCACCGGTACTGAAGATAACAATACTTTATTGAAGAAATAAAACTTGTCTCTGTTGTCCATTTTTTCACAATAAAAAAAATTAAAAAAAAAAAAAAGTAATCTAGCCTCCCTCGCCCCTGCCGGACTGCTTCCACTCTGCTCCAAGTCGGTGTTCATTCTTCTGTCCTCATTTAATATTCCAACTTTAAAATCCTGGTCTGTTTTACCTGATCCCTTCATTCAAGCTGGGGGCAGTTGGACACTTAGAAAATTCAGCCGTTTGTTCCCAAGTGGGGTGGGCAGCGTGAAGGAAAGTGAGAGTTTGCTCCTCATGCCCTCAGGGTCTCATTCATTTACGTCACAATACCACACCGGCCAAAAATAATTCTCAGCGAAAAATATAATTTGTTTTAGTTGAAGACGCGTATCTACAAAGGCAATATATCGTGAAAATATCCAGAGACTCGGACAAGAAAAAAGAAAGTGCTACAGAGTCAAACTCACTTTTCAGCGAGTCTCCGTCAGAAACGAAGGCAGAGAATTGAACAAAGAATCGCGCTGGGCTGACTGACCTTCATTTCACAAACTTCACCAAAGAGCAGAAGTCAATAATAATCTCTCCTCTGCGAAGCAACTGATGCTGGAGTTCTCTCGCCCTATTTTAATGTTTAGTGTTTAATATTTAGGTCACAATGAAATGGAATTTGCTGCCGAAAATAAGATTTTATTCTAGCGCCGTTTATTATCATTTAACCAAAAATGCCGAAGTGCCGC